AACCCACTGGAAGACACAACTTCTACCTCCGTGTCGTTCGTTCGTGGCCCAAAGCGGTTCTGCACCCGCATACTCAAACCATACCGATTCGATGTTTCGCTCTGACTTCTTATAGTTGTACTTTTTGCCCTGTGTGACGTCGTAGAAGTTGTTGCCCACAAGGCCATGGTTCTCCACATTGCGACCCGTTGCCATGGCATAGTGAGAGGGGAATGTCAGTGTTATCATCACATTCTGCACCTCCGCTTGGAAGCCGGCTTCACGGACTTGTTTGAAGGCGGAGATGTTCCTTCCCTCCTTCTCAGCCATGTCGAGGTAGTCGTGTCGGAAGCCATCAAAGGAGATGAAGAGCACCTTGTTTGTGCAGTAAGCGGAGCAGACGAGTGTAAGAAGAAGCAAAAACTGGCCCACTACCACGTGTTTTTCCATTTTTGCGGATAATGCCACCTTATTTTCGATGCCCTCCTTTTATATTTGAGTTACCTTGACGTCATCTCAGTGGTCCCGCCACCCTTGACTTTGCATTGGCAAATGGGTTTGGGTGTGGTTCATTTTATCAATCGTAAAACATTTCTTAAATTTCTTAGTTCGCTTTGTTTTGATGCTTTAAGTCAATCTTATATTGTTAAACGTGTATGTTCTTGTAGTAATGCCTTTGTTAATTTCGGAGTCCTCAAACAAATTAACTCTTCCCTAAAAATTTGCGCTACGACTTGTTCAACTGCTCACAGTTCTGAATGCTCCTCCTCTTATATTTGCTCACATCTAACACATTTTCGTGTGAGTATAAAACTAAATTTGTCTAAGTTAATGCCATCGCCTATAACTATGTACGTGTCGAATGAATTTGACATCTGAGAAGAAGCATTCGCTGTTGTGTTTTATTACTTAAAATGTAAAAGTAGAATGGTTGATGTTCATTTTTGTCTAAGGCAGAACTGGAAAAGTCGTGGAACGCTTGGAACCCAGAAATAGCTAAGCAAATCATTAAAAAGTGTGCCTTTAATACCGTTCTACTGAAAGTTTCTAATCATTTAAAGTATGTATCTTACGGCAATTGCGAAAGAACTTTGTATTGCGTCTTTACGTGATCCGTACCGCCAAGAATTCGTGAGCATTCGTTAGTTCGAAGCAATACAAGATGAATGTAGCTGGACGTCCATTTGCGCCTTATTCGTCTGTTATACATTATCTCCAAAAAGATAGGAAGAGAAAGTGGGAAAGCTTAATAGTTCGTTTATTCGTCCCATGCATCCATCGTGCAGTCCAAATGCACTAAACGGAATTTTATCCTTCTCATCATTTCCACCTCTATTTCTATCTCTATTTCCCTGTCTGTTTGTCTATTGAGACACATATTCATTTATTTCACCTCCCAAGCTCATTAAAAACTTACACATATTACTAGTCTCGATGCGTTTACTCACGCATTGCTCCCGTCACTCAGTCATTGGCCAATTGAGCTCTCGTGTGATTGGCTGTTTTGAAAGAGTGCTGGCAACACCGACTTCAAAAGGCGCTGATTGCAAACGGCTAGTTCATTTGCAGTGCAAAATGCAATTGTTTCTGGCATTTGCGTTTCTGTTGTGCGGCACATGCTACGCACAAAAAGTCATTCTTGTCTCCCTTGATGGTTTCCGCCACGACTACATCGAATATGCTCTTCAAAATGGCAGAAATGTTTCTGCTTTCCAACAAATTGCAAAAGAGGGATTCCGAGGAATGCAAGTGCATAGCGTAATGGTCACACTCACCTTCCCATCGCACTTTACACTTGCCACCGGCCGCACTGTGGAACACCACGGCTTAGTAGGCAACACCTTCTACGACCCTGATCTGAAAGACTACTACAAGTACACCAATTCCACGAAGAACCTCCAGCCACAATGGTTCACCATGAATCACAACGAACAGATTTGGCTTACCAACCAACGAAACGGTGGAAAAAGTGGTGTCTTCTATTGGCCAGGCAGTGACTCTCGTATGTATGGTGAAATGGAATATGTCAACTTCGGTCTCTACAGCAGTCTACCAAGCATCCGATTTCGGGTGGATCGCGTAATGGATTGGATCACGAAGCCAGACGTAAACCTGGTTCTTATGTACTTCCATGAACCAGACTCCGCTGGACACAAGTATGGTCCAGATTCTGAAAAAGTTCTTGACATGTTGGAGGTTGTGAACGATGGCATCGCTTACTTGCTGCAGAGAATCGAGCAGTCGGATGATTTTGATGAGCCACCAAACATCATCGTCACAAGCGATCATGGCATGACGAGAGTCAGCAACACGAAAATTGTTAACGTCAGCGCAGTTTTGAAACCAGATGAATATATTTTTGGAGTTGATGGTTCACCAGCAACATTAGGTGTATGGCCAAAACCAGATGGTTAGTCTGTGATTGCCTTCAATTAATTATCTTGTGTTGAAAAAAATTTGGATGATGGTTTTGTTGAGCAGGTTCAGGTTTAACTGTGACTCAGATATACGAAAAGCTTAAAACGCTACAACACTGCGACGTCTACCGGAAAGAAGATATTCCCGACAAGTATCACTACAAGAACAATACGCGGATCGCACCAATTGTCGTCTTCCCACACCTCGGATGGATGGTACAGACCAACGCTTCCAAACCCTACAGAGGCACCCTCAGTAAATCCTCCATTCCAATATTGACATCTTATTTTGCGCCTTTTATTCGAGTCGACTGAATGCCCACCCCTTTATCCCACCACAGACGGGATGCACGGCTACAACAACTCCGAGCCCGACATGCATCCCTTCATCGTCGCCATGGGACCAGGCATACGCAAACTGGGCAACGTACCCATCTTCTACCAGGTCGACGTCTACGCTCTCGTCTGCCTCCTCCTCAGGATCTACAAACCCAACGTGGTTGACAGCGACGTGTACCGTGTGGCTCCCTTCGTCAAGTACCTGCCTTCCATGGAAGTGCTGAGGAATTTCGACCGATACGCCAAGGGTTTGCCGGTCGACGCCTCCACCATACTTACAGGTGAGGCTTCCTTGCACCCTCAGTGTCCTGCATCCCACCATTGCCATGATGTGGAAGGTGCCTCCTAACCACCTTTCCTTCTTCTTCATCTTCTTTTTCCTCTTTCAGCAACGTCCTCCTCACACTCGCCCTCGTGCTGGCTGTGCAATCATTCAATCGCTAGCAGCTGAAATTTTACTTTCCTTTTATTATGTAGACCTTTTCGTACTTTTGGAAAATTTTATTAAAACCAAAAGTCTAACGCCTTGTTCTTCCCTCGACGTAATCGTTTTGGAATAAAACTTCAGTGGGGAGATTAAGCTACCATAAAGCGCATTCAAATGACAGGCTACCATTTATTTCTTCCTATCGTATCAATCCGAAAGTATATGACGTTACAAACTCATTCTTTTGGTAGTTTTTTCGAATAAATTTCTAACCTACAAATTTAGACCAGTCAGATTTAAAAAGAATACAGCCGCCTTGTGTGGTGCGTGGGTGTCGTGTCGGGGTCAGTGGCATATGTCGTCGTGTTTGTGTTATGCACACTTGCAGAGGAGGACTTAATGAAACGTCCTCAAGGGTGTGGTTTCTGACTTGATCAGTCTATTTGAAAAAAAGGGGTCAGCAATTTACATTGTTGAACTCATAGGCCACATTGGACCGGAGTTACTTTAAGTCACTTACATTACGGCCAATTTGAAATTTTTTTTTTGTATTTTGTTTGGTACTAATCGGATAACATAATGAGTCTGTCCGTCTAAAAGTGTCTGTTAGAGGTCTTCTAATCTGATTGGAGCCGTAGGTACTGTGAGACTACCGCACGAATGGTGGGGCTTATTCGGTAAATGTTTTCTTCTCCATGATGTACAATAAAGTAGAATGCGTGGTTGGGGCAGAAGCACCATTAGTTGAAGAAGTGTTTTGGAATACCTAGACAGAGAGGAAATCTGTTAAACAGTAGCTGCTAACATGGACGTTGAGGGATGCAGCATTACCCACTGGAATCGGCGAGATGTATTAAAGGGAATACACAAGTAGTTTTTCTTAATAGAGTAGGCACTTCAAATGTTGCTGGGTGAGGGAGGGATTAGTGCGCCAGAAGCGTAGAGACGAAACAGTTCGAGGTAATCCTCACTCGGCTTGTTCTTCAAGAACGGTACCACACGGTCGATCAGTCCGTCGATCTTGTTCGGCTTGTCCAGTCCCAGCATCGCACAGATGTAGGGGTAGAGGTCGATCTGGTAGAAGTGTTGGCGGTCGGCGAAATGCGGGATGTCAGGACCCATTGCCAGCATGAAGGGATGCATGTCGGGCTCCTCGTTGTCGTAGCCGTGTGCTCCATCTATTGTGGACGGATAGAGGAAAAGGAGGGAAACATTGTGAAAATGTGGCACAGTAAATATGGCGAACTTAAAGGAATCAAGAAAGTGAACATACACAAATTTTTGAATGAATGTGAGTGTGCTTTGATTAGCCATCCTTTTTCTGCAATTGCAAGTACCGGTGCAATTCTCAAATTCTTCTTGTAATAATATCTCTCCGGAATATCTTTTTTGAGGTAAACGCTGAGATGTTCGGTGCCGTTGATTCGTTTAAACAAGTCCTCGTTCGTAACTATTGACTCATCGTTGCTCCACAGACCGAGAGTTGCTGAGGAACTATCCAATATGATATGCTGACTAATATTGCTTAATTTGGAGTATAAGTCAATGACTTTGTTGGTTGGGTCAACACTCGTCATCCCATGGTCGGCGGAAATGACGATGTTTATTCTGTCCTGGAGCAATGGCATCTGCTCTATCCTCTGCAACAGGTAGGCAAGAGCACCATTAATTTCCTCTACAGCATCCATCACCTCATCAGAATCGGGTCCGTATCTGTGACCGTTACTGTCGGGTTGATTGTAGTACATCATGGCGAGGTTGAATTCGTCACGCGATATCCAATCCATGATTCGGTCAATGCGGTAGTAGAGAGGAAATTCGCTGGTGTAGAGGCCGGAGGTGGCGAAGGCCATTTTGTCGTGAACTCTCGCCTCACTGCCAACCCACTGGAAGACACAACTCCTACCTCCATGTCGCTCGTTCGTGGCCCAAAGCGGTTCCGCACCGGCATACTCAAACCACGGCGACTCCATATTTCTTTCCGGTTTTTTATATGAAAATGACATTTTAAGATCCGGATCGTAGAACTTATTCGCCACCAGACCGTGATCCTCCACGGTGCGACCCGTCGCCATAGCATAGTGAGAAGGGAATGTCAGCGTCAACATCACATTTTGCACTTCAGCTTGAAAACCGCTATCACGGATGTGCTTAAAGGCTGAAATATTTTTGCCCTTCCTTTCAGCCATATCGAGGTAGTCGTGTCGGAAGCCATCGAAAGAGATGAAAATCACCTTGTTTCTGCAGTAGACAGGCAATATGAATGCAATGAGAAGTAAGGCCTGACCCCAAATTGCACCTCTCATCGTGCCTGCAAGTGGTGACACAACATTTTAAAAATTTCTTTTATGTATCACGTCTAAATGTCTTCACACTTGCCAATTGGCTCATCAAAGCCACGCATCTCATTGGGTCGAGCTCGCTGTCTTAGTAACACTTTCAGCACACTTTCACCAAAGCCACTGGCCAAACCGTTTAAGTAAACTTTTTTAAATTAATCGCATTTATTTTATCTACTTAAGCACTTTATTTTTACCCCTTTGTTTTGCCAGTTCCGTTTACCGAGCGAATTAAAAATCCGAGTTCTGAGACAAACAAGTTGCCCAGCTGCATCCGTCCCGGATGTCGCGTGAGCGCGGCGATTTTGGAGTGCATGGAGAAGGCGATGCCATTCAGAAAAATTCAATTAGCTATTTCATATGAAACACTGAAGCTGTCTTTTTTCTGAAAATTTCATTCAATATTCGCTGAAGAGAAGCGAGTGAAAATTTGCTTGTTGACGGGAAAGGAAATGTGTCTGATGGGGAAAGCCCAATGCCGTTCACTGTTTGATTTGTTGTTTGAATTGATAAAGTCGCCAGGGAAATGACTTTAAACTCTCCTTCCATCAGTCTACTCAGCTGCCACAGTTTTGAGTTGCACAAACTCTGAAGCAGAAGACGTCAATTTGCTAGGATAAAAGTTACGCAAGAAACGAATTTTACGCCATTTGTGTGTCACAGCGTTCACAACACTCAAAAAATGGAAGATGGAGCAGAATCTGACAGTTCAGGGTTACTGGGAGTGGAAATCTATACGAGAGAACAAAATATTTTCACTGTAAAATAGCTTTATAGGAGTAATTGAGGTATGACAGCTGCAGTTCCCCACGGTGATAATTTAGCCTCACCAACCGCTAAGGTATGAGCTTAAAGACTTGGAAAGACAGTAGAATTAGTGAGCTTTCAATAAGTCGTCCAGCAGTTCGGAAGCCGTGCTAAGAGAGTTCCGAAGAACCATTTTACCGTTGTGGTCAAGAATTGGACGACATTTCGAGAGGCCGTTTCTTGTCAGTTCCCTTGAAAGGTGGACACCTCCGTGACCGCAAATTGACCACACAGAACGAACGCATTTGGCTAAAAGGACAATGAAGGAAAAGTAAGCGAGCTCTGTGAAGTTGTTCACTTCCATCCCGATGACTTGCCCAGTTAACCAAATTGTTGCATTTGTGGTGTAGAAATTGCATGGCCAAGTGCATCTGCAACGTGTGGCTGTTTAGCAAAAATGTCATCCGAAAGCGCCATCAGCAGGCCATTGTTCTTCAAAGATGTGATGAAGCGATTAACGTCGTGGTTTGGCGGAGTAACAACAAGTCCACTTTTGCACCAAAGTGGGAAGAGATCGGAAGGACGACGTGTGGCTTCGACAAGACAGTGAAATGCGTTATATAGACCGATTGCTTTGATCATGCAATCTTTACAGTATTTTAGGAATTTTAAAGTTAAGGGCTCGTGGCTACAAGTCCACTATCACCCATTGCTTGGAGAAGACAGTTGAGCGCTGAATCAACAAAATTACCTCGCCATGTAAAGCTGCAAGAAGTGCGCTCGCAACTACAATTGTAAATCCTCTGCATACAGCACAGAGTTCACTCTTTAAAGACGTAACAAATCCGACAGAACTTTGGGCATCAAATGGAGTTGCAGTTGAAGACCGACTGGACTGTTAGTGGCGCAGAGACTTGGTCCGTTCTTTAGGACTTTTGAGTTCAGGCGGAGCTGCTACTTCAGCGTTGGTGACAGAGTTAGGCAGAACTCGTGTTCACAGGTCTGCAGATGAAATGGTCTTCTGGATTGAAGCTATCTCTCCATTTATCTTTGCCGAATCTACCAACTTTCCAACCCTATCTAGAGTCCAGAATTACAAACCCCTTCCATCGCTCCAAAGCTTTAGCCGCTTTTTGCCAGCAATTTGTGCTCATTGTAGATGGTGAAATGCGGATTAGTAGCACGAAACGAATGAGTTGAATGATTAGAGGACTAGAAGAATAAAGCCTAACCTTTGAATCAAAATAACGATAACCACGTGTTTTGGCAAAACTCCTTTACCTTCATGTGCGAGAAATACTTGGGCTCCGGATGCACAAAGGCACGTCTGCCAGATTGGCAAAAGTTGCAGGGCAATGCACGCACAGCCTCACCTACCTGAAGCACACAGGCTTTTAGGCGCGAGGGCGACAGAACTCACTACTGTCGCTCCAGTACAAAGGCGAATGCTGTCAGTCTTCTGGATTGATTCTGACATCGATCCATCTCTCCTCCTTGGTTTGTGCTTCCACTTTATCCAGCCTTACAAGGAGCATCTTAAACTGCACACATTTTGGCATGTGGGCGTCCCCTCTTTCCGTTCCCCTATCGCGGTTGTCATGGCTCTTTTCATGGGATGATTTGGGTCTGGATACTTTAAGCAGGTCATTGGTGGGGTGAATACTGAGGAGGAGAATCGACTCACCCTGCCACAGAATACAAGCCAGTCTAGGTTTCCAAGGTTCGCTAACTTCTCTTTCGGCG